GTATAGTGATAGACTTGTTTTAAAGCAGTATAAGTTTATTAGAGAGCTTCTTGAACGGTCGAAGATGACGGGAGCTAAGGTTGTTCCTACCCTCATGATTTTGTCACCCAAGCTCAAGAAAGATGCAGGGAAACCCCTTAGTGATGGACAACAGTTACGAAGCATTGTTGGTGCCTTAATGTATCTCAGTCACGCCTGACCAAACGTTGCATTAGTGTACATCGTGTAGCTCAGTACATGCAAAACCGTGCGAAGAAGACTGGATAGCTGTTAAAAGAATACTCCGTTATTTGGTGGGTACAATATACTACGATCTTGTATTTTATGCTGATAGTTTGACAAGTAATCTTCTTGCCTTTACTGATGCTGATTGGGCAAGTAATCCACATGATCGTAGGTCAATATCATGCCAGTGTGTGTTCCTCGGTAACAATCTAGTTTCGTGGAGTTCAAAGAAACAGAAAACGTTGGCTCGTTCTACCACAAAATTCGAACACCTGAGTATTGCTGACACAGTTGTTGAGGTTGTTTGGCTTCGAACACTACTACGAGACATGGGCGAGAAGCAAGTCGCAACCCATGTTATATGGATCTATAACATCAGTGCGGTGGTGATGAGCACCAACCCTGTTTTCCATGCTAAGTCAAAGCATGTGGAACTAGATGTGTTTTGTGAGAGAGATAGTGACGAATAAAGAACTAAGTGTGAACTACGGTCCTGCGCCTCATCAACTTGTTGATGGTTTGACAAAACCATTGTCAAAATTTGCTTTTACTCTATTTCGTGACAAGATTCAAGTTATTAATGAAGAAGCCATGGAGAAATCGAGAGGATGTTGTAGCTATGGAATACCTACTGAGGAGTAGGAAGAATGTTGTAGCTATGACTCAACTGCATGGTATGAGTCAACTGCATGGGTGTCGTTAGCCCTAAATGGTGTGTTGTTAGGTTGTTATAGATTATTCTAGAATTACACTATACCTAGGTCTGTTATAAATCAGGTGGTTTTGCACATTTGTAAGCAAGCAAATACAATACAATTGTTGAGAATATTAGTTTGTTATCAAACACGAACAAAACTAATTGGCATTTCCTTCCTCTGCAAGTTTCTCAGCACCAACATCACTTGGTTGGAAGATCAAGGCCGCTAGGGATTTTTCCAGGATAGTTAGTTGTTGCAGGATCCGTTCCCATCATACTGCAATGAAAAATAACAAAGAAATTACAAGAGAAGTTTTCGACAATGGTGCCGCTGCGAGTTCATTTTCAACTTCTTGAACTGTCAATGCTTACCTTCTATCAACAAGAACTACAGACAAAAGTTCACAATTCGAAAACCTGCAAAGGATGGACCGTTATTTCTTATTAATCAGTTAAATCCAAGGTTTTAGGTAATCTGTACTGAAACGTGTTTCCCTCTTTTTTTATCCGAAGATAATACTAACATGCAATTGCCTGTAAGCCTTCTTCATAATGGTTAAATAACAATCAATGGTTATGCAGAACTCACTCGTTGCATAGTTCGGTCTTCATTGATGGATGACAATCATGGCCAAAAGCACTTAAGGTATGGTACAAAAGTCCGCCGTGCGAAACGACAGCAATTTCCTTCTCATTACGCGTCCACAACCTGTAGGAAATGTTATATAATCTAGTCACCGGGCAGTTCAGTTTCGGCATACACTTCCATTTCTTTGTTATGTTGATCCAACATAAAAGGAAAATATGCACATCAGGAAGAAACGGTCCACTCACCAGTTCAGAAACTGCATTCCTCTGGCTACAACGTCTTCTTCCTTTTCTGGAGTGTCAGCTACCCATAGAACATCATTGTCACTTTCGATCTGAAAGGGGGAAAAAACATAACATAAATTCTTGCAGTCGGCCTTTGTTGATTTTGAAAGTATAACAATTTCTAATATTGCAAAATTGAGAATTAAGACAAAGTACTTGCCAGAGAAAAATCAATTGCAGGAAAGAAAGACTGGTACTCGCTGATGCTTCTTCTTCTGTCACATGGATGGCCTCTCTGTGGTTCGATGGTTCAAAGAGGAAACAACGAAAATGAGATAAGAAAGGCAGAATACCAAAAGTTTCAATAAAAATAAAGAGGAACATCTTAGGCAATTGATACTGGCGGCAAACTCTACTACATGAACTAGCTCTTTTGAGTATACATGTCTTTATCAATTTATGGTTGGTTTTTACTTACATTAAACACACTAAAATCAGCATAATCCATTACTCTTTTAAGCACAGAATCTCTTAAAGTGAGCAATAGAAAAGATGACTTACATTTACCAATGAACCGAAAAAGTAGGGATTACGTGACAAGTTTGCCACCCATCTGATGGGGGTTGAGCTTTAGTTGTCAAAAACATTCAATTTCCAGATAATGATATGCCTGAACCATTAAAATTATGATCCATCATAACCTTGCGACTTTCTTCTAATCTTTACATCTATGTTGAGTTTCTGACTAATAACTATCTTGAAATGCATAACAAGTGTGACGTGCATATTTCGGATTAGCACCATGGCTATTCAGCAACATTTTATGCATTTTGGGAGCTAGCTCTCCCTTGGGACAGACAAAACAACACATTAATACAGAAGTAGAAATTGAACATTGACGCATCCAAAGTCCACGTTTTTAAAGCAGAAAACTGGGAAGTCAACTTGCAGCAAGTACGAACATTAGAATCAGGGATGGAACCAGGATTAGACGGTGGGAGGGATCTAGTTTCCTGACTTCAAAGTTAACATGGACTTGATAAGTATTTAATCACAACGTTCAGTGGGGCGTGGGGGGACAGGGCTCCTCTCCCTTAATTAGAAGGGATGGCTAAAATATATTGATTATTCCAAAAGCAAAGTATAGGAGTTCGATCAAGCATATAAGTATACAGATGGATATTGAATATCCATGATAAATATAAGTTCAGGTGTTTGACAAAGAACTGAAGTAAAATTATCACTCCCTTTTAGTCTAAGTGGATAAATCACAGTTCAGTACTATTGCAATGCATGAATGAAATGGGCTATTTATAGTAAGCAACAGCACACAAAAACATAAGCAGCAACACATCGAGTTGCAAGTAAATTCTTTCATAGGGTGCATTGGTGTCAAGCAAACACATAAGTTGAAGGATGTACCAAAATTTCTCGACAAAGTTCGAAAGCTACAAATGGTGGGCAATTCAGGCTCGAAATCTCAGGACGGTCACTTTCCCCTGCATTTGCCACCAATAGTGGAGGAACATCAATCCCATCCTTATACTCTTTTCCACCAAAGACTCCCACTGCAGTTTGCATAGTCCTATAATCCATAAAGACACAGCTAGAGCGTGAGAAATACGAGTAAAATCTTGGACTACAGAAACATAATGTATATTTCTGTTCTCCGGGCAACAAACATTCACTATTAAACAATTATATTGATTTTCACAGACATATAGTTGATTCAAATTTCCCTCTGGATTTAGTTCCTAGTCCTTTTCTTTTCTATTGTTCGAACTTACAAAGAACAAAAGATTGTTGATTTTGCACAGACTTTTGGGTGACACATACCGTTGTTCTTATGATATGAATCTGTTAAAATATGCCCAGGCAAGTAGGGTCTGAATTGATATCCTAAAGTATGATTCTTCTTTCAAATGAAAAATTCATATGAAAAGTAAAGGAAAATATAAATAATTTGACAAAAGAAACACTACAGTAAGGAATAAGCAGGGGTTCACTGATTAAAACAAGGATTAAAAAATGATGCCAAATTGTTTTCATTTTAGAAAAGCGATACTAGTAACACAAAAGGGAAATAAAGGAAAATAGTACCCAAGAAGAAATTCTCGAGAAACAAAGAAAGTAATAGAAAAGTTATAATACCTGAGCAAAGGGGAAACAATAACCAAATCCACTTTCTTAGAAAGCCCAGTTTCATGAACATGCTTGCGCAGATTATCAACCTGTTATAAATTATAAATAAGGGTCACAAATACAATCATGCTAAAGCAATAATATTCCCTCTAGTGCCGCCAAAGACAATCAATAGCATTGTTCAAAAGCATATTTTAAAGAATAAACTCTCCAAAACTAACTTTGATGCACCAGATTTCAACGGCAAACACTGATTTTTCCTCTTGTTAAAATAATAATAATTAAATAAATCAATAAAACACGATGATTCAACCAATGATTTTTCCATTATAAACCTGTTGCCAGCCAAGAGGCGTGAGATGGGCGTCAAAATATTCTTCAGATGAATAAGCAGCAGAATCCTTCTCCCCTGCTACATTATGAACCCCCTGAGCATGCCTCACCTGCCAATAAGCCATTTTTAAAACCAGATTGGCCTATCGACTTTCAATCCAAAGTTCAAATTAATTAAACAGAAACTATTTGACAGCAGGAACACGGACCAGGTGGAGAGTTTTACAACGGTGCAAAGGGTATAATCCAGGAGTGATTGTTGCATCCATGTCTGCAATCACCCGGAAGAAAAACGAAACAAGTTTTACGTAACACTCAAATGCAACAATATCTCAATTTTATAATATTTGATTGCTGATGGGTCTAAGCTCTTCCTCGGGCAAAAACGTCAGTGTCCCACTTTAGAAGCCATTGTTTTGGACCAGAGATTCTATTTTGCATTACCCACCCCACATGGCCAATTGGCATCTTCCCGCTTGTTTTTGCTTCTTTATTAATTTTTTTGGGTAAACTGCCCATGTAATCAACCAACCCTTACCATATTTTTGTTTTTGTCACTTAACTTCTATTTCTGTAATTTTAATCACTGACGTTACTTTTTATTCAAATTTGGTCATTGGTGAAGTGGCCTTAAACACATCATCATTATCATCCCATGTCAACCACTGAAAAATAAAAATTACAATGATTTTGGAATCAAAATTAAAAAAAAAAAAGATTTTCAACAATATGCTAATGACATGCCATCCATACCATACTAACCCATCGAAGGGTATGGGAGCAACTACATTGGATCCGGAGTTCCGGACCGCTCAAAAGAAAATAGATGTTACTGCCAAAGACAAACTTGTACAAGGATGTAACATTGCCATCCATATTTCCATTTAAATGTTCTGGATATCAAACTGAATGTTCATGCTTGGTCTCCCCTCGAAACAGGAATAAAACTAATTGGCATTTCCTTCGTCTGAAAGTTTCTCAGCAGCAACATCACTCGGAAGATCAAGGCCGCAAGGGATTTGTCCAGGATAGTTAGATGTTGCAGGATCCTTTCCCATCATACTGCAATGATAAACAACAAAGAAATTAAAAGAAAACTTTTCGAAAATGGTGTTGTAGCGAGAAAGCGAGTTCAATTTAAACTGTTATGCTTACCTTCTATCAACAAGAACGACAGACCGGAGCTCACAATTCGCAAAGCTGAAAAAGATGAACCGTTATTTCTTATTAATCAGTTAAATACAAGGTTTTAGGTTATCAGTACTGAAATATGTTTCCCTCTGTTGTTATCCGAAGATATACTAACATGCAATTGTCTGTACGCCATTCTTCATACTGGTTAAATAACAATAAATGGTTATGCAGAACTCACTCTTTGCATATTTCAGTCTTCATTGATGGATGACAATCATGGCCAAAAGCACTTAAGGTATGGTACAAAAATCCGCCGTGTGAAACGACGGCGATTTCCTTCTCCTTACGCGTCCGCAACCTACAGGAAATGTTATATAATCTAGTCAAGGGGCAGTTCAGTTTTGGTATACACTTCCATTTCTTTGTTATGTTGATCCACCATAAAGAGAAAATATGCACTTCTGGAAGAAACGGGCCACTCACCAGTTCAGAAACTGCATTCCTCTGGCTACAACGTCTTCCTTCTTTTCTGGGGTGCCAGCTACCCACAAAACATCATCTTCGCTTTTGATCTGAACAGGAAAAACACAACAAAAATTTTTGCAGTCTGCCATTGTTGAAATTGAGAATTGAGACAATGCACTCGCTAGAGAAAAATCGATTGCATGAAAGAGAGACTGATACTCGCTGATGCTTCTTCTTCTGTCACATGGATGGACTCCCTGTGGTTCGGTGGTTCAAGGAGGAAACGATGAAAATGAGATGAAAATGGAATTATACCAAAAGTTTCAATAAAAATAAAGAGGAATATCTTAGGCAATTGATACTAGCCGCAAATCCAAATTATACTACATGAACTAGCTCTTTTGAGTATACATATCTTTATCAACATATGGTTGGTTTTTACTTACATTAACTATACTAGAATCAGTATAACACATTACCCATTTAAACACATAATTTCTTAAAGTAATTAATCAAAAAGATGACCTACATTTACCAATGAACCGAAACAGTAGGGACTATGGGACAAGTTTCCCACACGACTGATGGGGATTGAACTTTAGAAGTCAAAAACATTCAATTTCCAGCTTTTTGTAATGATATGCCTGAACCATTAAAAGTATACTCCACCGTAATCTTTACATCTACGGCAAGGCTCTGACCAATAACTATATTGAAATGCATATCAAGTGTGCTGTGCATATTTCTGGTTAGCGCCATAGATATTCAGCAACATTTATTACAGATCCATTTGTCCATGCAATATGTGCACGTGTTTAAAATTTCATCCGATAATTTTAAATGTGTTCCTCCTCAGACTCAAGTTGACATTTAATGCTCAACTAGTTTTCTAAACTAACATATGGATGTGTTTGAAATGCTACTGATAGTTTTGGAACTAATTTAGAATGTTTTAAAGTTTGGAGACTATTCTAAACCTATGTATATAGTTTGGGGATGTCTGGTGTAATTAACTCTTCGATCAAGCATATAAGTGTACTGATATATATTGAATATCCATGGTAAATATAAGTACATGGTTTTGACAGAATTGAAGTAAAAGTATTAGTCCCTTTTAGTCTCAGTGCAGGAATCACAGTTCATTGCTATTGCAATGCATGCAAGAATGTGGCTATTCGTAGTATGCAACAGTACACAAAACATAAGCAGAAACACATTGAGTCGCTAGTAAATTCTTTCATATGATGTATTGGTGTCAAGCAAACACATTAAATTCAAGGATGTACCAAACGTTCTCGACAAAGTTCGACAGCTACAAATGGTGGGCAATTCAGGCTTGAATTCCCAGGACGGTCACTTTCCCCTGCATTTGCCACCACTAGTGGAAGAACATCCATCCCATCCTTATACTCGTCTCCACCGAAGACTCCCACTGCAGTTTGCATAGTCCTATAGTCCATAAAGACACGGCAAGAGCGTGGGAAATAGAGTAAAAACCCGGACTAGGTATACAATAATAGAAACATCATGAATATTTCCATTTTCCGGGCAACAAACATTCACTATTAAACAATAATATTGATTCTTGCATACATACATATAGTTGTTTCAAATTTCCCTCTGGAGTTAGTTCCTAGTCCTTTTCTTTTGCTATTGTTCAAAGTTACAAAAGCAAAAGATTGTCGATTTTTCAGAGACTTTTAGGTGAAACGTACCATTGTTCTTATGATATGAATATGTGCAAATATGCCTAGCAAGTAGGGCTTCAATTGCTCTTCTAAAGTATGATTCTTCTTTCAAATGAAAAGTTCTTATGAAAAGCATAGGAAAATATGAATAATTTGAATAAAGAAACACTAAAATATGAATAAACAGGGTTCACTGATTAAAACAAGGATTACAAAAATTATGCCCAAAAGTTTTCATTTTCTAAAAGCTATACCAGTAAAACAAAAAAAAAAAGGGAAAGGAAAAAAGTACCCAAGAAGAAATTCTCGAGAAACAAACAAAGTAATTGAAAAGTTTTAATACCTGAGCGAAGTGGAAACAGTGACCAAATCCACTTTCTTCGAAAGCCCAGTTTCAAGAACATGCTTGCGCAGATTATCAACCTGTTGTAAATTACAGTAAGGGTCACAAATACAATCATGCTAAAACAATAAATTTTAAAGAACGAACTCTCTAAAACTAAATTCGATGAACCAGATTTCAACAACCGAGATAAGCAAACACTGGTTCTGAATAAACCCAATCGTCATACTTTTCATTTCTTCTTTTTCTCTAGTTAAAATAAAAAAGCACAATGATCCAACCAATGATTTCTCCATTATAAACCTGTTTCCAGCCAAGAGGCGTGAGCTGGGCATCAAAATATTGTTCAGATAAATAAGCAGCAGGATCCTTCTCCGCTGCTACATTATGAACCCCCTGAGCATGCCTCACCTGCAAAACAATAACCAATTTTTAAAACCAGATTGGCCTATCAACTTTCAATCCAAAGATCAAATCAATAAAAAAGAAAACAGAAAGTATTTGACAGCAAGAACACGAACCAGGTGGAGAGTTTTACAACGGTGCAAAGGGTATAATCCAGGAGTGATTGCTGCATACATATCTGCAATCACCGAAAATAAATAAAGAAACAAGTTTTACAACGGTAAATGAATGAATGGAGAAAAACTGAAGAAGGAAATGTTAAAATTTGTTGGTTTTTGAGGTACTTTAGAAGCCATTGTTTTGGACCAGAGATTCTTTTTCTACATTTACCCACCTCCATAGCCAAATTGGCATCTTCCTCTTGGTTTTGATTCTGTATTAAAGTTTTTATCACCGACCGTTAATTTATATAATACTTTTAGATTTTTTTTATCACAGTTGAGTAGTATGTAATATAACAACTAGAGACTAGTTTGCATGGTTTTCAGAATCGGATCGGTTAGTGAATCGATCATGTTATCGGTTCACTAGTTTAATAGGTCTAATCGGTTTGATCGGTCGGAAGAATCGAACGATATCATAATTATTTAAAAAATTAAATAAAAATACTAAAAATATTTAATAAAAAATAATTTTTTATATCACAATTCATATTCAAAGCAAGTCATAACATATATATATAAGTTAAAAACCATAAAATCAAGTGAAACAAAATGCTTCAAATTAGCTACAACATAATATTTAAGGTAAAACATATTAAATAATAAATATAATTATATAACTATAATTAAAAAATAAATTTGAGGCTAAAAAAATCATAATAAAATGATATTGTTTGGTTTAATTTTTATTTAAAAACAATCCCACATGGCTAAGAAACATAGAAGATCATTCCAACTAATTTCTATAAATAATAGAGGTAATTTGACATTCAAAATCATGGAGCCTTTTGGTAAGCATTGAGTGAACTATTTTTTCACTTCAATCAAGCTCGAATTTTAGGCTTCAATCGAGCTTCTAATTTTTTTTTTAGTTCAAGCATTTTCGAGTTCAAATTTCAATATTATATTTCGAGTTCGAGTTAAACTTCATAATTTTTAGCTCGTGAGTTTGAATCGAGTTGAGCTTACTTTTAAATTTTTCAAGTTCGAGTCGAGCTCAGCAATACTCGAGTTCGACTTGGCTCGTTTAACAAACGACGTCATTTGGTTTAATTTTTAAAAAAACAAAATTGACGATTTTTTCCGATTTTCAGCCGGTCCGGTTTGAACGGTTTAACGATTCTGGTCGGTTCACTAGTAGCGGTTCAACCGGTCTAGATTGAACTGGACTAAGCAACAATTTCCGGTTGAATCGATTGAACCGGCCGGTCCGATCTGATTTTCAAAACAATGCTAGTTTGTCAAAATTATTTTTAAATTTAAAAAAATTACGATCGCACTCATTTTTAGAGCAAATTAACATCACACCTCTTTGAATGAAATGCATGATCTGGTATTCTAATAAGTAGGAACATTTTCACATCAATTAATAGTGTTATTTTCTTGGCATTATTATACGAATAATATTCCCTGTTTTATTTATATAATAATAATTAGTAGCAAAATATATTTGGGAAAGTAGCATTTTTTTACAAAGATACGGTTTACATTTACCGACGTGATAAAAATTTCATACTAAATTTTCTTAAACATTTTATTAAATTTCATTTTTTAAGTGATCCAATCATATATAAGTAAAAAATAATTGGTGACAATTCTCATATTTTTTAAGTTACATTTTATTTATTTATTTTTGATGCAAAAAAGTTTAGGTCAATGGTGGCTCTCTCAGTAAAGCGTCAAGGCATACATAAGACTCAATTGAGATTTACATAGGAATTTACATATTGTTCACCAAAAGTGTCGATGGTAGAATTCAAGCTTAACCTTACAAGCTCAAATTCCTGGATCCTAACAACTTGTGTCAACACTCATTGGTTGGTTACATTTTATTTTGATAATATATTAATGATCTTACAACCGTTACGACACATTAAATTAAAACTTATGTGTAAATTTAAGATATATCCTATTTGTTTTATATTTTTAAAATGATTCCTTATTATATACTGATTTTTTATATAGATAATTTTAGTTTATAAGTATATGTTATTTTTTAATAATTAAAAATATAGATTTTCTTCCGGAGAAGATCACATGAAAGGAAAAGGGTTTGGTCCTCTCCGGAGATCACATGAAATTGAAAACGTACGAGATTTTGAAGTTGGGATAATGTGAGACACATTTTTAGGTAATTTGTCGCAATAAGTTAGATTGTCAACGGGGGCAGTGTGCACTGAATATATTTAATATATTTTTTAATGGGCCGTGTCACGTGGATTCTACTGTCCAAATATATTTAATATATCCTAAGGGACTCGTCATGCCCGTTTGACGAGTCTCATTAAAAAAATATTTTTTTAAAAATTCTTAAAAACATTTAAAAAATATATTATTTTAATACAAAAGGAACTCGTCACGCTGGTGTGACAAGTTCCAACAGATATAATTTTGAATTTGTTGACTTGGATTGACCGTTGTTGAACAGTCAATTTTTTTAAAAAAATCAATGGAACTCGTCACGCCGGTGTGACGAGTTCCAACGGCTATTTTCAATTTGAAAAAACTAGTCGTTTATAACCGTTTGGTAGAGTAGTATAAATAGAGGTTTGGGTTGGATTGATTTTTCACTTGGAATCAAACATTCTATTTAGAGTAAAAACTTTTGTGTTAAAATTGCCTCAAGAAAAGAAATGTTACGTCTAGATGATGTTCATATTTCGTCGACCGAGTTGACTACGGTAAATTTAATTTGTTTTATTTCATTTTAGTTTTGACAAAATTATAGTATTAATAATAATTATTTATGTAATTGTATTAAATAATTTATTTTCAAATTGTAGCCAGAAGAACGAGGCATTCGTCATCGAGGAATGACGAATGAAGAGCCACATGAGCGGATGGTGATATATCTTTCACAATCTGAATTATATGGAGCGACGTTTCTTCATGGATTTAAGGTGATGACGCCACTGATATCGGCGTTGATTGAGCGTTGGAGGCCAGAAATGCATACGTTTCATTTTTCTTATGGTGAAGTGACGATAACATTGGAAGATGTTGCGTATCAACTTGGCATTCTGATTAATGATATGCTATTGGTGCTTCACAAAACTTATTCGCGAGATGTTGTTATTTCAAATTTATTGGGAAATGAGGCTTCAGCCGATGCATTGATGGGTTGCAGATATGGATGATGTGGTTGGAAAGAGAATTTAGAGTAGATGAACAATCAATGGAGTAAGAGGTGATATATGCAACTCGAGCATATCTTATGACGTTGATTGGAGGGATCTTGCTACCAGATAAATCAGGCAATTTGGTGTACACCCAATATCTTCCAATAATGAAGGATTTCGATGTATGTCGCCAATATAGTTGGGGTTCTCCAATTTTGGATTTTTTTGTATTGTGAACTTTGCAAGGCGACCATAGTGGTTAGAGGAAAAAAAGCGGATGTATCTAGTTGTTTAGTTTTGCCCCAATCATTGGCGTGGTATCGTCTCCCTTTTTTACGCCTATTAGATCCGTTCCTATGGAGTTTCCTATCGCCGCAAGGAAAATTTCTATATTTAAAGTTTTGATATTTTATAATATTTATTTAAATATTTTGAAAATGACAATAAATAATGAAATTTTTAGATGCGACGCCGAATAACCGATACGAAGTTGTCGGGTGCAACCAAAGTAGATATTCAGATGATGATTGATATCGCCGGTAGACATGCGATAAATTTTAATATTTTTTGCATTAACTTTGAAATTGTAATATTAATTATTTAATTATACTAACATAATATTTTTGACAGTTTAATTGGATGCCTTATTATGAGTCGGATATCCAACGGTGTCTACCGCCAATGTTCTTTGAAGGAGCGGAGATATTGTGTGTCATAACACCATTGCTCCATTTTGCAATTGTTGAGATCCATGCCACCGATAGAGTTTTGCGACAATTTGGGTTTCACCAACCGATAGAAATGTTCATATTTAACATAGACGATTTGCATAAAATAAATTAACGTAGGAAGCATAGCGAAGATTGGCCGAGGAATCATAGCGAAGATTGGCCGAGGAAGCATGCTATATTCATACAACAATGGCAAAATAGACATTTACGACTGCCTAATTGTTCCGAGGTACAACCCGAAGATTTTGATTTCAATGTTTCTCCTTACCTCCAAAATTATGAAGCAAATGGGAAATCATACTTGAAAACGTCGGAGGAAAATTGTCATCTTCATCTTATGCTTCCGCCAATTATTATTCATCGCAAGAAAATTATGGTGGATATGGTGCATATCAACCATCGATGGAGAGTCGAGTGGCGTGGGAAGGAAGTGAGTGAGATCAAGTGTCATATTCACAATAATTTTCCTCAGAACCGAAAGAAAAAGGTCAATGGAATCATCTTCTTCAATACTGACAATCTAAATTTGAGGCGATGATGTTAATGATGGAGTCAAATACCTTGAATACTCCATCGTTTTCACCTGAAGATGTAAATCAAAGTGGTGGAGTAATGTTCAGTACACCAGAACCGGAAGAAAACGAAAATGACGAAGGTGGATGACCACGACGAAATCGACGAGCACCATGTTATTACTATTCTACCACTCCTCGACATCGGCAAGAATTGCGCAAATATAAGTAATAAATTTGTTTATTTAAGTTTTTGTACTCAATATTTAATTGTATAAAAAAATCATTTATAAGTAACAAATTTCTTTATTCGTTTTCACCCATAAAAATGTTTAAAATTTGTCAATAATTTTAGTTTTAATTAAAAGAACGTTGAAAATATGTAAACAAATAAACTATGTAAACAAAAATGAAAAATATTTAATTAAAAAATAACTTTTAATTAAAATAAAATTTAATTAAAAAAATTCAGTCATATTTAGTGTAGTTTATAAAAGTACATGGAGTATTGGTACTCCTCTTATGGGTATTGGTACTTCCTTTGTTATTTTAAATAAAACTAGTTGTTACTAGCCGTTGGTCTTGATGGTATCGATATTGTGACCATGGTATCGATACTATTATGTCAAGTAGTATCGATACCCCTTTGGGTATCGGTACCTATTTTGCATTCTAGAATTTGAGCAA